TCTTTCAAGAAGACGTATTATAGTAGGAAATAACAGTTGTTGCTATAACCTTAGCTGTGGTTCTGGTCTTTGTGTCCCATTAAGCCGTGACATTGAACCGGCAGGAAAAATACCCCGACCATGAAAAACAAGCATGTACAGAAGTCAAATTGAAAAGCTGCCTTCCCTGCCAAATATAGCAAGTCTTTGTTTTAAGAACTGATGGATGTATTTAAACAATTAATCTGAAAGTGTCACCTCTCATTTGGTTACCCACACACCTGTGCTTTTCTTAATGCAACATGTCAAATATCAGAGAACAGTGAAATAAATGTCATCTTAAACGTTTTTTTGAAAGTGTCAGATACAAAAGAATGAAATAAATCTGATCTTAAATCCATGTCTATTCCATTGTCATGCATCCTGACGCTTTGTGCATTTAGAGACAGCGCGCTATATGTAGTATGTGGACCACAGTATTCCCCTGTTTCTACTCCACAAGTTAGTTTGTCAGAGCCAAGCCACTGCGGCGCTCTGCAGCAGGCTGTGGGGGTGGGGACGTCGTTGAGAAAAGGAGGAGGAACAAAAATGCAGGCACCAAATGTTACGGTGTGAACACGGCTTAACAAGGGAGCAAAGCACAGGTTGATGTCCGGCAGGCGCTCAGGGGATTCTCCTGGAGGGAGTTGTGAGAGGAAGCTGAGGGGAATGTAAACCCTCTGATACTTCCTACCAGCGTTTCCGCCAGGGGGCCGTCTTGCCGTCCTTATTCAGCTCGGGACTCCCTGAACGCGAGCCGAGGGCGTCCAAAAATATTAATAATTCGAGAGAAGATCGAGAGTTTTTATCGCTTGAAATGACGAAAAGGAAAAAGGACAATGACATCTCTCTGTTGGAGGGGCAAAGGAGTCTGGTGGCATTATTCTCGGAGTATTGAAGATTGTTTCCCCGACATCGAAGGTGCCTGCTACGAGACAACACAGAACGTGCGCGATTTGGACGCGATGAGCGGGGGGGTTTTAGTGGAGCACGCGCGTGAGCTGCGAGCACCAGAGCCTCGCAGCGGCGAAACTGAGGCTCCGTGGTAAACTGTGGTAACATGAAGAGCCGTTTGGCAGACGAATGAGCCGGCGCTTTAAGAGAGCCGAGCCAAATGATCCGGCTCACTAATGAAAAATACAGTATCCCCCGCGGGTGGACGCCCTCTCAGCCCTGGTCTGGCGGAAACACTGCTTCCTACAACTCTTTGTTTGTATTTGTATTTACTTGCACTGTTGTATTGTGTTGCACTGTTGGAGGAGCCTGGGACCCAAGATGTTCATTGTCATATCTACACTGTAGCTTTGCACACATGACAATAAAAGCCTTAAATCTTGAATCTTTCAATGTAATCAAATTAGTGCAAGAAGTTGTTGTGGTGGTATACTAAACACAAATGTATGTAGCATGGCCTAACTGCTTCTGGTGATGTTCAACTGATTAAACAGGTGGAAGAAGCCTCGACTGAAGCATAGACTCAACAGCTTGCAGCCTTGACTAAGAGCCCATTTCTTTACTGACCAAACTGCGCAGCTATGATGGAAAACGAAAGATGTGAAATGGTTAAAGCATGCCACTCAATAATCAATAATGCAAAGTCAAGCTCACTAGAATAAGCCCAAATAAGACTCTTTAATGTGCCAGAAATCAAATTACATAATGTCTAATATTGCTGGGTTTTATAAGCGTGGGGTAAAAGTCCATTCATGTAAAACCAAGATTACTATCTTCTAAAATTCTGAACAGATTGACAACTTCAAATTGTTAGTTTGTATTAGTGTTTCTGCACTGAAACTCAATATGGATGCTGATGTACAGTAATCCCAAATATTAGGTCAAGTGGTGTCAAGCATTATTCTGTAATCACCAGATCACAAAATAATACTTTCATCTTTTTTTAAATTGGCATTTTTTGAGAAACAAATTCAGAATCACAATGTTTTTTTCCGAGGGGGAACTCGGGTAAAAGGGCAACTCAAGTCATATTTAATTTGTGTTACAGGCACAATTTAGTTTGAATAATTCTAACTTCTATTCTGAAAACACTGAGAACATATTGATAACTTTGAATAACTCCTTAAAATGTGCAAGTTTAATTGATAGATCCTTTTCAATTATAAAGAATGGCAGACTTGGTCACGCCCCTTTTATTAGCAAACAGCTGACTGTAGTACATCCTGAATTTAGCACCCCTGTTTACTTCATTGAGAATGTAATTTAATATCCAGACTCATTTTGAATTGAGAATGAAATCATTACCCCAAGTATCAAATCCGAAGGTACCAAATATATTCAGACTCTTACTACGTTTCTGTTACATCTCTATTTCATGTACAGTTTTACACCAACGAAGAGGAAAGCCTTTGCATACATGCTAACCAGATATGTGTGCTATAAAGACTGAATTTAACTTTTAAAAGTGTATCAAATCTGACCCGTGTTCATGTCTTTTCAAAAACAGATGCTTCTGCTAAACTAGAATCAAATATCACACAGATTCAGATTCATTCCCTCAACGATTGGTCAGTTTCATTCTCAAATCATCTGTAACATATATTTAGGGATGCCCTGGTGCACAGGCTCGAGAGGAAAATGCTTCAACATCTGGCTCTTTGAAAGTTGACATACGCATACTTGGAAGTCGGAGAGATAAACCCGAAGCTGTTTTCTTTTGATATATTGACATAACATCCATGACGAGGTGTCCAAAGATGCACTTTCTGTTACATTAGTGTCCATTATGACATGACGAACAGTGCGACCACAAGTAGTGTCAGATATTGTTACCATCAGAGCTGGAAGAAGTACTCAGATCTTGCAATAAAGTAAAAGTAGAAGTACCAGAGTGTAGGAATACTCTGTTACAAGCAAAGTCCTGCATTCAAAATTGTAATCAAGTAAAAGTACAGAAGTATTATCATCAAAATATAGTTAAAGTACCAAAAGTAAAAGTAGTCATTGTGCAGATTGGTCCATTTCAGAATAATATATGTTTTGATTATAATTATTGATGTGTTTATGAAAGCTGGTAAAGTTGGAACTTATATAATCCAGTAGTAACTAAAGTCAAATTGAGGTGTTGATCATATTGTTTATCATTAATCTATATCTGCAAAGTAACTAAAGGTACAGCATAAATGTATTGGAGTAAAAGTACGCCTGAATTGTAGTGGTGTAGAAGTACAAAGCAAGCAAACATGTGAAATACTTCAGTAAAGTACCTCAAAATTGTAGTTAAGTGCAGTATTTGTAAGTGTAATTAGTTACTTTACACTCCTGCCATTCAGCAATGTAAAAGTAAATGTTACTCAAGTGAAAGTACAGCAGCAAAATATACTTAAAGTACCGAAAGTAAAAGTACTCATTCAGCAGATTGGCCCATTTCAGAATAATAAATATTATATTAAAAATATTGATGGTTTATATGTTATCACAGCTGGTAAAGGTGTAGTTTTAATTACTTTGTTTGCTGCAGGTGTATCTCAAGTCTTATTTAAGTGTTTATTATTTTTGCATAAGTAACTAAAGGTTTGAAATATATAATGTAGTGGAGAAATAGCACACTATTTACCCCTGGAGTATAAATACAAAGTAGCATAAAATGGAAAAACTCAAGTACATGTACCTCAAAATTGTACTTAAGACCACTACTTGAGTAAACGTACTTAGTTACTTAATACCATCCACCTAATACGAGTTAATTTCACAAGATTTGAGGATTACACCTGAGAGTTGGCTACCAATAATGTTACACAGTAGGTTCAGCTCGGATGCTTAGCTGCTGTATTTCGGCCACATCCCCGGCCTCAATCTGGCCTAATTTCCTGCCGATTGTTTACACGAACAATAAACCAACTAGCTGTCCCTCTTTTAGCCAAGTCAGTGTTGGAAACCTTTCACCCAAGCACACAAACACTGTACTGAAGCAGTAATGTTATAAACGCAATTTTAAAATATAACAGTGAGTGTTACGCCTTCTCGTTAGCCGGCTAGCTAATAATGCTAACAAAATAAAACCCTCTGCAATTTAATGCTTTACTCATAAGGCTTGGGGATCTCAAATTCTTTCAACACTCAAGTAACCAATATATTAGACGTTTAATATGGCGTATTAAGGGCTAAAAGATGTGTATTATTAGGTCCAATATTATAGACTGTTTGCTCTCTTAGCTAAATACAGTCCCTCTAAATAAGCTTTCTGGCTAAGCTAACCTTAGCGGATGCTGTAGCTGAATGAGAAATGCAATTTGACAATAACAATCCATGTACAACAGATGTACAGCATAACGTAAACTAACTGTGGGTTAAAAACTAATGATAGTTATAGCTTCATAACAGAATAAGTACATTTTTCCTTACCGTATCTTCTATTTGTGTCTCTACGCCGGGCGTTGGCAGCTCCGCGCTAGGGGCTTCCCAGTCAACAGTACAGGGGCACGTTGCGTGCCTAGGGATGAACTACGTCATCACGTTGATCAATGTTACAACATTACTTATTTTCTCTAACTAGGGCGAAAAATAAATAAACAACCAAACATAGACATGTTTTGAAACCCACGTTGTGAATGAATGCGTTCACTATTATATTTATCCTAAAAGATATCGATTATAGGCAAATAAGGTACATATGCACACATATATGACATGGTGCTTGTATAAAGTATAAGGATGTGCATCACAATTTATTGTGTATTTGATTCAATCTGCTATTATGCACTAATCTGTTTTCCCTGCACCGAAATGTCCATTACTAATCTCCTCCTCAAATGAACACAACAGAAGAAAAAAATATCCCCCTACAAAACATAACGACTTTTTAAGATCCATTCAAACAATGTTTTGAATGGTTTTCCTATTGTGCTTCATTTGGAGCTGGGAGTTTGACCTACTTAAGTACACAATAATGTTGTCTGCCACTAGATGGCACAGTAGCTCACTGATCAAAACTCACGCAAACCAGTTCAATGAATTGAGAAGCAAACTAAGAAAAGAAAAAGTTTATTCGCAAAACCATTTTGTAGACAGAAACTAACACAATATTCATGTTAAACACAAACATATTCAACACCATTTGCAAAAGAAAAACATTTATATCGAAAGGTACGATGTGTAGGCCTCTCCGTTTTCCTAGACGGTCACACTTTGCAGTAAGGTGATGTTGTCTCCTTTCAACATGATCCTCCCTGGGAGACAGAAACACAAGTGGAGACGAGTCAGGAGAGACAGATGATGGACGGAAAGAGAACTTTACTTTGGGACAAAACACACTAATATCGCATTTCCACTGCAGGACCTCGCACGGCTTAGTACGGTATGGCTAGGCCTCGTTAGGCCAGGCTCACTTTATGCTGCGTTTCCATTACAGTTTAGGAACTGGGGTAGTAACTATAGTAACGCAGTGTAGGCGGAGCCGTGACGTCATCTTCAATGCGAAACACAAAACCAACATGAGCCCTCAGAGCTCACAGCTCCTCATATCTGTTCAGAAACTAGACAGAAGTTAAACAAGTACAAACCAGACTGTCTGTGTCATGGAGAATACAGTCGCTGGTTTATTTATGTCTGTAGGCCGTTGTTGTGAGTGTGGACGGTCGGAGCATTTACAACGTTAGCTTAGCCGATCTCCATTCAGAAAACACGCATTTTAAAAGGTTTTTCGCCTGCCGTCTGTCTGCAGACTTGTCAAAGCATTAATTCATGGTTTTTACTATCCGGTATCAGTATGTTGTTACTTCGGCATCAGTTTTGAAACGTGAATTACAATTAAATCATGGTCAAATATGTTCATCTTGTTGTAGCTGTAGCCCCCTTGCCAGCGATTCTCTCTCTAGTTTAGCATACTCAGCCCGGTTGTTGGCCCGGAAAAAACCACGATTTTGGAGGGCCAGAAAACTGTCAAAAAGTACCCGTTAGCCGGAACTACGCCTAGTGGAAACGCAACAAAAACGGGCCGGGCACGGCACGCTCAAACCGTGCTACGCGCTGCAGTGGAAATGCGTCATAAGTATGCCTGTGCTTTCGCTGAACCACATGCAAAACGGTCTTGGGGAAAAAGGTATTTTTCAACAACATGTTTTCTACTCTTACCCAGCGGCTTCCTGTTCTTAGTCTTCATGTGGACCTCCTCAGCATCATCCAGAACCAGGTTCATGTACTCATCAAAACCCTAAAAGAGAGAAGACATTGAGGCCAAAAATTAAATTACCAATTACATTACAAGCCATTTGTATGTCGCTCAGTGTTGGACAGATTTCATTCATTATCATAGACCTCAGAGTAAAAAGAAAGCACAGTTCTGATGGCCGACATCAGCAGAAGATATACATTCATACAAAGTAAAAAAATATATCAGTTTAAAACGTATTAGGGGATCCCAAAATGATTCAAACATGAATTCAGTTATGTCATAAAAGAGAGTAAATGTACGGATATGTTTGAGTTGTAATACTTTATGCATAATAGCTCTTCACTTTCTCTGCATATGCACTTCAGTCCACGGGTGCATCTTGTAATGATAGGCTATCTGTCATGATGTAAACATTTACAATAATCATTTCCCCAGTTTTTGGTAGGCAGCTAATGTCAGTGTTGTCTTCGCTTTGGTGGTCTGCGGCAATGTTTAAAAAAAACACATAACCTGTCTCGTTAACCATCATTTGAGTGTTTCTTTTAGTTCAAGTACAATTTGTATCATTTATTGTTGAGTTCAAAGTGCCCAGTACATGAAATTATGAATTCACCTTCTAATTTAAAACAATATTCAAGGAGCTACACATATAAAGACTAAACACAGAATGTAATTCAATGTACAGAAGATGGGGATCTTTGCAAAGTTAAATGCAGACAGTTTATCTGCATGTGTATGTCTGTGTGAGGGTTGGGGCGGTGGACTCGAGTTTACAAATACATTTATTATAGAGAATAAGTCATTAACCAGAAATTGCTACAAGAAGACATTCTTACTCAAACATTTTTATAAAGATTTGAACACATCATTTATTTTTCAATGTAATCATTTCCAAATTGAATTAATTGAAATATCCAATATCAACGTAAGAGCTTGAGCCTCTTCGGGGGGTGCCAACACTTAACCATAAACTTTATAGTTTACTTTCTCCTTCTTTATATGTAGATATTACTGTTCTCCGTTAATCTCTGTCACGTTGTTTCCATAGCAACAACAACTTCCTGTCAACAGCGCTAACTGTCCTTCAAAATAAAAGCATGTCCATAAATAGGAAACCAAGCCAAATGACACTTAAGACATAAAACTGCAACGAAAGTAACACGATATCCTTTTCAATTTCAAAGAACACAAATTGGGTTACATTAACAAATAACTATAAAACAACAATACAGTAGAATAACAAAATTAATGCCGTGAAGTTGAAGCGGTTCGCTTCACACCTATATTAAACA